TGGTGCACTCGCAGGCTTTCGGAACCGATTTCTACCGATTTCTACCGGGAGAACGGCCTTAGCGTCATAACCAATTCAAAGGGTGAGTGGCCCGTTGCTTCTTTTTCAGTTGTCCGAAGAGACAATAGAGTTCCTGGAAGTTTTTCTAGCCACTTGGATTTTTGATCCTCCACCCTCTTCTTGAGAGCGTTAAGGATCTGCTTATTTACAGCTTCGGCCTGTCCATTACTCTGCGGGTGGCATACCGCTGAATATGCCAGTTTGATGCCGAACTGATCAGTGTACCGTTTCAGCGGCAGATTGTCGAATTGCCTTCCATGATCAAAGAACAATACTTTCGAGATGCTAAAACGAGTGATGATATTCTGCAAGATAAATTTTCTGACAGTTTTCTCTGTGATGTTCGAGGCTGCCTCGGCCTCGATCCATTTACTGAAATAATCGACACCGACTATCAGCCACTTTTTCTGGTACGGGGCATCCGGAAACGGATCCAGGAAGTCCAACCCCCATTGGGCAAACGGAAGTGGGCTTAGGACTGGCTGAAGCTCCTAGGCTGGCTGATGGATGACTGGTGCAAATTTTTGGCATTTTTCGCACTTTTGACCATTTCCTTAGCATCTGAGATCATAGTGGGCCAATAATACCCTGCCCATAATGCTTTGTGGGCTAGGGTCCTCCCCCCAATGTGGTTCCCACAAATGCCGAGATGAATTTCCCGAAGGATGTAATCTGCATCTGTTAGGCCCATGCACTTCAGCAATGGGGCTGAGAAGGATTTTTTCAAAAGCTCTCCCTTGAAGACGATGAACCTTGCACTGGTTCGCTTCAATTTGGAGGCCAAAATTTTATCTTCGGGAATTTCTCCCCGAAGCTTGAAAGCTAGGATGGGATCCATCCAGCTTGGCTCTTGGTCAACGCAACACACTTCGGGTGCTTCGTCGACACTTCTCTCCCGGCGCACCTCCACATAAACAGATCGCTTCAGCTTAGTGAGAGTTAAGCTAGCAAGTTTGGAGAGTGCGTCGGATTGTGCATTCTGACCCCTTGGGATCACCTGAACTTCAAAAGTTCTAAGCTTTGCAATAACTGATTTGATCTTGGCAAGATAGGCTATCATCGAGGGCTCTTTGGCCTCGTAGCTGCCACCGATCTGATATGCAACTAGTTGAGAGTCCATCTTTAGACAGACATGCTCGGCTTCCAACGAGATGCACAATTCTAGGCCAGTGATTGCTGCCTCGTATTCGGCCTCGTTGTTCGAAGCTTTGAAAGAAAATTTCAGTGCATACTCGAAGGACTTGCCTTCTGGAGAGGTTATAACTACCCCTGCCCCCGAACCATTTACGGTGGAGGATCCATCCGTAAAAGCGGTCCAGATTTTCTTTTCGTCATCTAGTGTCTCCTGGTACGAGAATTCGGCCAGGAAGTCTGCTAGAGCTTGAGCCTTTATGGCTGCTCTCGGCTGGTAGCTGATGCTGAACTCTATGAGCTAAAAAGCCCACTTGGTCAGCCTACCAGATTTTTCAACTTTGCCGAGAACTTTTTCCAGCGATTGATCAGTCAGGACCACTATCTGATGGCAATCGAAATAGGGTCTTAAATTCCGAGCAGCTACCACCACTACATAAGCAACTATCTCGAGTAAGGGGTAGCGGGTCTCGGCATCCGTCAGATTATGGCTGACCAAGTAGATCGGTTGCTGAATTTTATTTTCTTCCCTCATCAGCACTGCATTGATGCTGGCTGGGCTAACAGCCACGTATAAGTACAGAGATTCTCCCTCTACTGGGCTGGTCAGTGTTGGGAGTTGAGCTAAATGCTCCCGAAGCTGCTTAAAGGCTTTTCTTTGCTCGTCTTCCCAAATGAGCTCTTTTGTTTTTGGGAGTTTCAGGGCTTTGAAGAAAGGTAACCCCTTATCCGAGGCCCTGGAGATAAACCTCGAGAGGGCTGCCATTCTTCCGGTGAGCCGCTGAACATCCCTCTTTGTTTTCGGCTCGGGAAGGTCGAGTGTTGCCTGCACCTTAGCGGGATTGGCATCAATCCCTCTCTTGCTGACCATGAACCCAAGGAATTTCCCTGACTTCACGCTGAAGACACACTTCTTCGGATTCAGCTTCATCTGGTGCTTTCTTAGGGTGGCGAAGGTTTCCGCCAGGTCCTTAACATGGTATTCATCTTTTTTGCTTTTGACGATAGAATTGTCAACATAGACCTCCATGTTTCGGCCTTTCTAATCGACGAAAACTTGGTCCACCAGCCTTTGATAAGTTTCCCCCGCATTTTTTAATCTGAAGGGCATCATTTTGTAATTGTAGACCCCGGCGTTCGAGACGAATGTCGTTTTTGCTCGGTCGTCGGGGTGCATGAAGATCTGATGGTACCCCGAAAATGGGTCCATGAAACTAAGCAAGGCATGGCCACTTGTCGAGTCGACTAGCTGATCGATCCTCGGTAAGGGATAGAAATCCTTCGGATAAGCCTTATTTAGGTCCGTGAAGTCAACGCACATTCTCCAGGTGCCATTTGCCTTTTGAACCATCACCACATTAGCCAGCCATTCTGGATACTGACAGGATTCGATGAAGCCTGCATCCAACAACTTTTTGACTTCGGCTGCGATGTCTTGGTTCTTATTCGCGGAGTAATTCCGCTTCTTTTGCTTAACCGGCCGACACGTCGGGTCGACGTTAAGCTTATGAGAGATGTGGTCTGGACTTATTCAGGGCATATCAGCTGCCGAGAAAGCAAACACATCTCGGTTGTCCCGAAGGAGTTGGATGAGCTCAACGCGGACTTTCAAATCAAGATCCAGCTTAATTGTAACACATTTTTCAGCGTCTCCTCCGGTCAACTCGACCGTTTCAGTCTGCTGGTCCAGCTCCATTGTTGTGGGGCCGGACTCTTCACTTTCTGGCCTGCTGTCTATATCAGCAGGTGTCCCAGACTTTTTCTTCTTTGGCTGGCTCTCTGAGTCTTTCGGCTCAGATGAAGAGCTAGCCTTTTCTTTCCCTGGCCCTTTTTCTTTGGCCAGATCTCCTTGAGCCGAAGCCCTTAGGCCTTTCGGCTTCTTCGCATTTGGCTCTCTTTCTTTCTCCTCCTTACCCTCGTCGTCATCTTCTGCACGACTGGTGGATGGCTTGGGGTAGTTGCACGTTCGGGCTTCCTTTTGGCTGCCCTCGACTCTTTCAGGGTAGCCAGCATTCGAAACATATATCATGAGTTGGTGGTATGTCGAGACTACCCCTTGAATCTCGTGAATTATGGGTCTCCCCATGATCACGTTGTACACTGAAGGAGCGTCGATGACAAAAAATTCAGCCATGACGTTCCTAGCTGCTTCGTCACAGCCGATGGTGACAGGAAGGGTTACCTTCCCATCTGGATATGTTGAGGCCCCATTAAATCCGGATACCGGGTAAGGTACCGGCGTGAGGTGCTTGGGCTTCAGCTTAATTTGATTGTAGGCCTTTCAGAATAAAATTTTTGCTCCGCTGCCACCATCAACAAGAACCTTGCCGACGTCGTGGTTGGCCACCGTGGCGATGATAACCAACGGGTCCTCGTGAGGGTACGTCACCCCCCGGCAGTCAGCGAATGTGAACGTCATGTTCGGCACCGGTGACTGGGGCGGCTGAATGCTTGCGTTGTTCACCTGGTGGGTCATAGCCCTGAGGTGACGCTTGTGCTCCCTCCGAGAGCATATTCCTCCCAAAATAACATGGATTGGAGGAAATTTTCCCTCCGCATGCTTGTTATTCTTTCGGGGGAAATCGAGTTCTTGCCGAAGGTCCTTTTCGGACTTCCCAGCCTCTTTTTTCTCGAGGTGATCCGCGATATATTTTTTCAAGTACCCCTTCCGGACCATATCCTCGATTTGGTCTTTCAGCTGGATACATTCTTTAGTGTTGTGTCCCGGTGATTCATGGAACTCGCACCACTGATTTTTATTTTTTCGCTGATACCACTCTAGGAGTGGTCTTGGCTTTCTGTAACTCTGCTCCTCCTTCGTCACGCTGTAGATTTTAGCGTGCGGAAGGGCGAGCGGAGTATAGGATTCGTATCTGCCCGTGAAAGGAGCAGATTTTTCCTTCTTCGGCTAGTTGGCCGAAGATTGTTCCGAGGCTTTCGCCTTTCCTTTCGCCTTCTGGTCTTGGCCTTCAGACGACTCTTGTTTTTGCTTCCCGCCCCCAGATTGAGGTTGGGTTTTTGTTTTGTTCCATTCTTCAGCCCGGATAAACTTATCCGAAGCGTTCAGAGCTTCCTCCAAAGTCTGCGGGGGATGCATGACCATAAAGTCAAGGAACTTCCTTGGCTGAAGGCCGTTCTGCATTGCAAAGACGGCCAACCCTTGATCCAGCTGGGAAACGCTGGATGACTCGTTGCTAAAATGAGTCAGGTAATCCCGGAGACTCTCTGCCTCCCCTTGCTGCAAGCCCATGAGCTCTGTAGTGGTTTTTTCTCGGCGATTCGTCGTGGAAAATTTGCTCTTGAACTTGGTGGACAAGTCGTCCCATCCCGTTATAGAGCCTTCCTTTACCCCCTTGGAGATCCACGCTTGTGCGACCCCCTTGAGAGTGGTGGGAAAATATTTGCACCAGGTCGCTTCGGACCTAGGGCACAGGTGCATGTGCCCCTCATAGGAGACAATATGGTCCTTCGGATCCGAAGTTCCATCGTAAGTAATGTGTTACGGGATTTTAACCATCGGCACATGTTCTTCCAGAATCCATTGTTCAACTGGAGAACCGGTGGGAAGCATCACGGCCTTATCCTTGTTCCTAGCCGAAGGGACCGCGCTCTGCCCTCTTAAAGAGGTAAGAGTGGTTTTCGTCCCCGGCTGGGAAGGTTGGGCCTCGGCTACAGGGAATGAGAGGCGGCTATGCACACTCCGCTCCTTGTCGCCTAATCGGTCGAGAGCGCTTCGGCGCACAGTCTCTACATTGTTACACTATCTCAGGCATTTCTAGTTTATAAAGGCAAAAGTATATAACATAGACTTCACTGCAATATGGATGAAACATTATTGACCGTCAATCTCTTACTTACATTGTTACACTATCTCAGGCATTTCTTGCATTTTAAAATACTACTAGTACAATGTTAAAATTCACAAAAATGAAAAGTAAAGAGGAAATTAAAATACAAAAAGAAGTAGAACTTAATAGTCAAAAGATCAACAGAAAATTAGCATAATAGCTGAAAAAGGATGCTTATTGGTTTACTAGTAAATAACAAGCTTGCAGATTTTCATGGAGTTTTGGCAGAAGCCACTTCAGAGCTCTTCTTCTTTCGCGAAAACAACCCCCCAATCAAAGGTATCAATGGCTGTCTTTTCTTCTTCTTAAGTGAAGGATGTCTCTCCAAAAATGGCCCGCTTTTGTGATGATCAGGTAATACAACTTCAGATAAAGTTGCATTTCCAAAGGTCACAAATCTCCTACTCTCAACTCTTTCACTTTCTCTTATTCGTTGTAGGCTAGTCGCGGGTTGTGGTGGATCTTCGACAAATTTAAGGTCTTCGATCTCATATTCCATCATCTGTTTCTCCGATTCCCTCTCTAGTTTCAGCTCTTGAAGCTCTCTCTTTGTCTTTTCGAGTTCCTCCTCCAGTGAAGATAGGCAAGTGGCCATCACCATTGTTTCCTCTTTCGCCTTTACGAGGCTTTGTTTCGTTTCTTCAAGCTCGTCTGTGATGCTTCCTAGCTTTGAACTTCCTTGGCCAATTTCATCTCTTGTATCCTTCTCCATCTGCATAAATATGGACACAAGATTGTCATGTTTAATATACTAATTTTTTATTAAATTACAAATAATGATTTGATCACCTATATTTCAAGAGTGTCTTAGCTTTTTTAGCTACCTAAAGTAACTAATTGCCTTTTCCTTGTGAATTTTCTAATATCATCATATCATTGAGTTAAACTTAAATTGAGAATATGACCTCTTTCACTAAACTTAATCAATCAATTGAATATTGTTGAATAAAACTAGAGGCACTTCTAATTAAAATCTTCGTTAACTGAGTAAATTTGAAGCTAGTCACTCATTTACAAATTACAATTGACACCATGTTCTTTTTAATTAAACTAAATAGTACAGAGTACACCAAAATAAAATTGAATATGTATTGGTTCACGTGACTTTTATAGTCCGAGCATTGACCAATTAGATTTTCCTTTCACTATAATTAAAATACTTTATAAAAGAGTGCGTGCGTAAAGTCGTGAACAAAAAATACTCCATTTCTTATTTTGTTGTCTCAAAAATAAACTTGTTCCAGTTTTAATAATTAGAATAAAAAATTACTAATTATTGGCTTTAACAAATTTATGTACTATGTATGAAAGATTCTAAGCCTTATTTATGTGAACCGACCAAAGAAACGTGACACAAAATATTGTATGTACATTTTTTTTTTGAATAATACTTGTATATATCTCTTAAATAAAATGTACTTATACATGTAAGTTTATATTTATATATAGAGATTTGTAGAAGAAGGTTAATGTGGGACTGTAAGAGGTTTCTTCCAAAGGAGCAAAGTAAAGGATTCCTTGTTAAAGCTGTGATTAAGTAACATACACAAATTCCACCATTTGTTATTCAATTAGCTACTTTATTCTTTCTGCAGACAAACCTTGACGTAGAGCTACTCGAAATTTCTTAGAAAACATGTATTGGATTCATAGCCACTCAAGTAATCAATTTCAGCTTGGATATTTTGGGTAAGTAACAATTCTAATTCTATTCTAGATTTATCTACAAGTGCCTTTTTTGATATGATAAATTTCGTGTCCCTCGTATCTAAATGAATTTTGTTAGAATTTTTTTATTAAATTGGAAAATTCCTATTTTAGAAGAAGTTGTACCCTCTACGTTCTCTAAATCCTACTCACTTATTATTCAATGGTTAACATTTAACAAAACTTCGACTATATCTTAATTTATTTATTTAAAAAATTAAATTATGTGAAGTATTATTTGATTTCATAATATTTTTCTGGATATCAAGTTTTTATATGGAGTATATATCATTCATTCATAATAGTTAATAACAATGCTCAAAATAATGCGCCAGAGACCGTGTAAAATACAGAGATTAAAAAAGAGAGGACTCTGTTAATGTGAAACTTTTTAAAAATAATTTACAAAACCGCTACCTTTCTATTTGTTATAGACGGTCTAATATGTGAATTTCTTAATTATGAATGCTAACTAATTTAATTGTTCAAAGTCATGAAATCTGATATTTTAACTTCCATACATCCCCTTCAACCCATAATTGTATGTTCCAAAATATACGGCACTCCTTAATATCATAAATTCCCTAGAGATTTTTGCATACTATTACAGTAAGATATTTATTTCATCATTTAAGAGATAGTCATTTACTAAAAAAAACATATAAAGAAGTTACAGAATTCATGCATGGTTTTATAGTCCACTTACACCATTAAATCGGTTTGAAATATCTGCCTTCTCTTTTAACAAACATAGTAAAACAATAGACAATTATACACAAGTCATTATCAATGGTGATAAACAAATCATTATCAATGGTTGAAAATACAAGTTCATCTTGATAATAAACAAAATTTGTTTATCTAATGGCATTTTCGAAAATAAATTAACAAAAAATCTCAGTCAGCATGACATTTTCGTAAATAAGTCAACATTTGTGGAACCCGCATATTAATAAAAGTTGTTCACTTATTTACAAAAATGTCATGCTGACTGGGATGAATTATTGATATATTTACGAAATTGTCATTAGATAAACAAATTTTGTTTATCATGAAGATGAATGGGGACACCCTCATGGTCAACAAAACCATTAAGTTTAACAAAATGACAGCTTCATCATTCATTATAATGACTAATCAACGTCATAATCATTGCTGACAGCAATATTAGAAGGAAATAACATTAAGAAAAACTAAACCAATAATTTGATTTTACTAAACATACGAAGTAAATAAGAGTACCTCTTTGAGTTTGCTAGCATAAACCTCCCCAGCTAAAACTCTCTCACCAAACAACGAAACCGCCTCTTTGACGGACCTAAATGGTGCTCGTGTATCAATCTCCGCCCTCCTATTAAGCACCACCACCCCATCTCCACCGCTCGCCATTCGTAGCACGGCACCAAACCAATTATCACAAAGAAAGAGATATATGGTAGTAGTGCTCTCTAATACAAACAACAAAAAATTAAGATGGTGTATTTTCCTTTTTATAGAGGTATGTAGCAACTTAAAAGAAATGTATATTTTGTTAAGGGAATTTGATAATGAAAGAAAAGGGAAGTGTAAGGGAATAAGGAGGAGAATTGAAGTTAGAAATTTAATGAAAAGCTTCTTTTCTTGGCGTCCACTTCACTAGAATTCTGTTAGTAAAATATTTTAGGAAGGTGTAAGTAGTGAGTAAACTGGTTGGGTATGTAGGGAATAGCATTGGTTACTAACTCATTTTTTTATAAATTAGTTCGTTGGACCCACTTAGATTCGGCAACACCACACGTAGACCACGACCTTTTACCTACATACAACTATTCCTATACAATTGTAACTTTGTAAGTTAATTAAGCTTAATGTAAGTAAGTAAAGTTGGATAGGGCCGGGGTCCAAATGAGGTTACATGATTATGTAATTACTAGTAGTATGATTTTGATGTTGAAATTGGTTTCTACGGAGTACGAATAATTGCCTTTTTGTTGTCATATTGCTATGTATCTTTTTATGTATTTGACAGGCTAAAGTCGTATCACCCAATCAAAAGTAATTTCTAAATCATCTAACTAATACAGATAGGGATGTAGGGTCGAATCCACAAAGAAACTAGTCTTTTTATTCCTAATTAATTAAAGCAATCTAAATTATTAATTAACAAATTAATAATATGGATAAAAAAACTAAACTACGGAGATTAACAATAAAGAGAAATCAATGAATAAAGGCCTAGGGCATAGGTTCACCAATAAATAACATTCCAGGGTAAACATAATAATCAATCATCAATGCATCAATTAATCAGATCATAAAGGGCTTTCGCTACGTATTACAATCACAGAATTAATCTACCGGTAGTAAAGCTCATCTCTCGAATCTCGACTTAACCATTTATAAATTAACCTGCCTATTGAAACTAAGTCTAAATATCAATTCTCATCTCTCGAATCTCGAATTAATATTGCTAAACTCATACATAAAAGACCAGCACTAATCTAGTTGCAGAGCACACTACAAGAAAATAACCTTTTCATAGCGATTATTTTAACCTTTAGTATCGATTGTAATTGCAACTAAAAGCTTTCCCAACGAATGGTCATTCGATACAATATCCGTATAATCTTTACAAGATTCGAACATGCAACCTCAAACTCTTATATTAAATGTTTCACCAATAAGTTATGACATATTTTATGTATTCTTTGTCAAAAAATATTTATATATCTAGTGTTGAAAAGGCTTTTCGTATCGATTTTTTGGATTTAGTGGCCATTGTAAATGATACGATTTCTCAAAATTATATAAATGTGTAAAAATAGTGTGTGTATGTATTATTATGCTTTCCGTATCGATTTAATATGGGAAAACCATGGCGATTGTAAAAATGATACGACATCCTTAATTATTTCACAAACATACTTGCATATTGTAGCGAATGAACAATCGCTACGAAAAGTGATTTTTCTTGTAGTGGCATTAAATCAATCAATAGGAAATTAATCAAGCATTGATAATCAACAACAATAAATTACCCCTTCATATTATTTATGGATCCCCATAAACCATATAAAGAAAACTACTTAGACATAATTAAAACTAAACTAATCAAAGCAGTTAAACAAGACATGATGAAAGAAATAAAGTAAATAGCTCAGATTAAAGTGGAAGAAATTGTTACCAAAGTAATCAGAATTAAAGAGTTGAATTAAGAACAAAATAGAGAACAAAGTTGTAGAGAGAGAAAATAATCTAAAACTAAGTAGAGAGAGAAAGTCTAAGAGAAGAAGTCTTAAAGCAAAAAACATTAAATCGTATTTATACAAAAATAATTACTCCTAATTAAAACTAAGAAATATCGTTGAGATCAGCTCCTAAAAATCTCGCGCCCGATCGGGCCCCCCTTTTTTCCATTATGGGCATCTCTCGTGCCCGGCCGGGCGCGATTTATCTTCCTGCCTGGCCGGGCGCGCCTTCGGATGGTGCCTATTTTGGCCGGGCCACACTCCTTTGCAACTTGGACTTCTCGATTGGGCTCCGATTCTTCGGCCCAATCCGGATTTTCTCTTCGGGTCTTGAGTACTCGGTCCAAATGCCTCGAAATCTCAAATGATGAGCACTTAATCACCGGTTTGACGACTCTAACCGGCCCTAGGCTATAAAAACTGGTCGTGCTCCTCCAAGTACGTAGTCACTTCATAATATCCCGGGAAAATGCTCCCAAAGTGCAAATCCCTACAAAAGTCAACCAAAACTACGAAAACACTAGAAAGCATCAATTAGTAATAAAAGTGGGTCTAAAGAGCCAAAAACACTACCAATTATGACCAAGGGACGGGGTAAAACACTATATAAAATAGACATATTAGTCTTGTGTCTATATTTAGGGATATAAGACAAAATCTTTCCAATGCCAAGCGAAGTAGGCAATGATGGAGCTGGAATTTTTCATTAAGGGACAGAAAAATAAACATTAAAGTTTTATTTATTTTGAAAGGGTAAATCAATTATATATTCCACTAAATCGTTATATAACCACCGGAGTAGCACAAATAGTGCAGTTGTAAGATATGTGTTTAGTGAAACATAATTAAAATTCCATAGAATAATTTCCTAACATATTTAAAAAGTTGAAAAGAGATAACATTCTCTTTCTAAACGAGAGCTTCTCTCTCTAGGCGAGAGGTTTTTCACAAACACGTGAGTTTCTTTCGTACTTGGAGCCTTAGCAAACGTGTGTCTATTCATCTTCAACTCCTTTCCATTCAACATTCAAATTACTGATTACATGCAACCAATGAATGCTCAAGGTTTAACTCTTGTCAGAATTTTCTGAACAAAAGCTTTTAACTTCCCTCTTTGTTTTTCTTTACACCCAATCCCTTGTGATCTATCTTTACACTCTTCTGCCTCAAATTTAACCTTTTAAATCATTGCAAGTACTAGAACAAGTAATCTATCCTCTGTTTTTTCCTTTTTCTAAACCCCTATTTGCCACTTGGATACCATGCATTTGTGTTTCTGTTAATCTCCTTCTTCCCAAGTAGTATATAATGAACCTGTTTTCCTAGTTCAATTTCATCCACATCTTCAACTCCCTTTCCTTCTCCTGCTCTTTCTTCTGTTATGGCTAATAACCCCCCTTATCGTCATCCTAATTTTTCCTGTAATTCCCCTACATTACTAACAAATCCTTGCGAATGGGAGGTCTTGCTCAAAAACCCCAAAATTTCAACTATATTGGGCCGATCAAGTATAATCAAAGTGTTGTAGGCATGTTTGTAGGACTCCGAAGAAAGGGGGTCATCAAAGTGCACAGATCTGATCTGTATATATCTTCGAATGCTCTAGTTGTGCTGATCTTGCGGCTGTCATCAGGCTTCAAACAGCCTTCTTTGATGGCCGAATAATTAATCTCCGAAGGTATAATCGATCCTATATACCTCAATTTCTTAATTTTGATTCTGCCAGTCTGTGGGTTAGAATTCATGGCCTTCCTTTTCTTTATTTAACTCGTGAGTGGGATATACAAATTCTTTCTCATGTTGGCTGCATAAAGGAGTTCGAATTCACAGGGGAAGGACTCCCACCATCTGCTGATATGCAAGTTAAGATGGTGGTAAACCTTACCCAACCTCTAATCCCTGGTTGTTTTGTCCCCGTGGAAGGTTACCGTGTTACTTGGGTTCACTTCCGATATGAGGGAATTTTCTGCTTTTACAAGAATTGTATTGTGGTTTTGTAGGGCACACTGAAACACAGTGTAAGATCGAGAAGGAGGTAGCAACTTGACGGCTGAAAAGTCGTGTTGTTGCACTGGAAACTCATGGAATGAGGGTTCTCTACGGACCTCGTGATTATTCCTACTATACAAAGCTGGTCAAAGGCTTGCCTAATTACAGGCGTTATAGAGATCCGGAAGCTAATCTAGTGAGGCAGGAACCAGATAATGTGCCTATGAAAGATAGGAACCTCTCGGTGATGTTGATTCTGACTCTGAGATTTTCTTTAACGATAGTGCAGGAAGAAAAAAGCTCTCGCACGTTCTTTGCGGCTGTCAGGTTCAAGGGTTCACCCTCTTCCACGAGCTTCGGTTCCACCCTTTCTCCCCTATTCTCCTTCGACCTTTGGAGGGGGCCTTCCGAACCTTCCACTTACTGAGTTTGATCCACCCAGTTCTTCGGTAACACCAGTGGTGACAATTAATGTTGACGAATTATTTAATTTGCCAATTCCTCTATCTGCTCAATCGAAAAAGAAGCACAAGGAAAGAGAGGGTGGTTTTAATTTCTGGAAAGACAATGATAATGGCTCAAAAGATCTTGTTTCAAAGGCCATCACAGATGAAGACATGGCTTGTATTTGGAGTGTGCAGGTTGATGCTGACATCTTGGAGAATGTTAAAAAAAGGAGACGTTCTCCGTCTTTGGAATCCACTTGCTCGAGTGTTGTGAGACCCAGAAGGCCTTCTTCTTCTCACTCCCTTTTGAGTGCTACTGTTGGTATGGACTGGGAAGCAAACCAACAACTTGTTTGTTCGGACTTGATCATGTTGGATGAGGTGGCTGCATCGTCTCAGCCCCCGATTGTTTTATGAAATGTGTTGCTTGGAATTTTAGAGGTCTTAATGACCCACATGCCCCTACAAGATCTTACTTAATGTGGCTCGTATCTAAGTTTAAACCTATGTTTTTATTTCTTTCCGAAACTAAATTAGTTGCTGATGTGGCTAGGCCTATCTTAGATGTTTGTACCCTCTCCACCTCTTTTGGTTGTGATGCTATTGGTGCTAAGGGTGGTCTTATGGTTTTTGCTAGGACAAGCTCTTTAGTTACTGGTTTTTTTTCCTCCCAAAACATTATCCTTTGTAAGATAGTTGATTCACGTAATGATATTAAGTATGTAACTTTTATTTACGGTGCTCCGTATCTTGAAGATAGGCCTCTAGTTTGGATTGAACTTTCTTATATTTTTCATAATTTTCCCAAATGCCTTTTTTTAGGGGATTTTAATCAACTAGAGTGTTTAGATGATAAATTGGGAGGTAATACTAGTATTAGAGGGGTTGATGCTTTTGTGGATTGGAGATTGGAAAATACCTTATATGATATTCCTTTCTCGGGTCCTCGTTTCACTTGGAGTAATAAAAGACTAGCTACAGATTTAATTTTGGAACGACTAGATCGAGGGTATGTTTCACCA